GGCTGCTTTCAGATAAGCAAGAGAATGTGTTCCTTACTGAATGCATAATTCTTAGTATCGGTTGGATAAAATCATAACATTTCAGTGTGAAAGCTCCTCACGGACCATTTTGGCTGTTTCAGCATTTCCCCCTTGAAAAGTAGCATATCATGCTCATTTTCTATAACAGGATAAGCAAATATTCTTACTACTTATATAAGCTGACTACGGAAGATTGTGACGGTAGTTATATCTCACTCCCTTCAGGAATAATAATAGAGATGAAACAATTGATGCACCAGTACAATGAATTGTGTAACAAAAGAAGCAGATGATGAGGATCACCTTCCATGCTTTTTAATTTGGATTTACTGAAGACAGCTGCTATTTGTATGGTGGTAGAACTCGATTGTGAGTGATCCAGGAAGTGGTCTCTGAAGAGGCCATTGAAGGAAGAGAGTCTTTGGCAAGAATCCTGATCAAGCAGTCATTTGGAATTAAGTACTAACATATGACAAGGTTAAAGATGGAACCAGGAAATTTAGGAAATAAGGATGGCATATTTTACACAGGAAAGAATGAAGATGAGAGACATGGAAAAATTAAGGGAAATATAGAGACTAAAAAATGGAAGTGGCTAGCTAAAGATGTGGCCCATGTGAAGGTCCAGACCAGGCTCACTTGGTAGGGATGAAAAGGTAGGCAAGGCTCAAAAATTGCAGGAAGTCACACATTCCTAAGTCTCCAGGAGAAAAAAAAAGTGAAGTTGAGTGTCCCTAAGGCCAATGGAGAAAAAGAGATGGATCAAACTGTATGTATGCATATTCCTCTATCTTAAGACAAAACAAAAAAATATTTGTGTTTCTTTTACAACTGCTTGTGAATTTGATGGAGAATTTATGAAGGTTTAAACAAACAAACATTTCCCTTTGCAAAAAAATATCTGGAGCACTAGCTAAGTGTCTGAATAAGCAGACTGTATCCTGTGATTTGAGAAATTTGCAAGCTTTATACAGCTCAAACAACAACAATCGTTTTTCAGAACTACAGGATAGGCTAGAGAATAACATGGTTTTCACAATAACAAGCTATAACAATACTAGACAGCAATACAAAATGGTCATAACAAAAAGTACATTTCCTTGGCTCCACCTGGTTGTTAGGGAACATTTATTCATAAAATGTTCCTTGAGTTGCCCTATCAGTATATTTCAGAACACTAACAAAAATTAATCTTAATATGATACTGTGCCATCACTATTTCAACACAGATTAAATAGTTTATTCAGTTTGCACTGGTTCCCATATTACTTTCTATAATATTCTTATGCCCTCAAGAACTGACAATGGAAAGCTTGATTTCAATTGCCAGAATGAGGTTGACAGCTCTGCTCTTTTAAACAGACGATGTGCCCTTTCTGTTTCTGCTAACATTTCTGTATAATCTGTAATAAGGAGCATAGATAATCTGAATTTCTACAACTATAATTTTGCTTTGTGTAATTGATGAAAGCATTGGCTCACGACATATAACACCTTTAAAATGGAGACAGAGTTCAATCTCAAGAGGTGGTTGGTTGAAACTGCATTCAGACAAAAGTCCTATAGCAGATTGAACATCTTTGCTAAAATGCTCATAAGAAGGTCATAGGTTTAGCATCCTGCTTCATTTGAGAAAGAATTGTCTATTGCATTTAGTAAGGAAGCTCTATAATATGATTTATAATATGTTTCTAAATTCCAACCCATGGACAGCTGCAGCACAGAACAGCCACCCCCTCAACAGCTTGGTTCTTCTTGACTTTTCAGTAATAGCTGAATGGCCAGTATAGGAACAGGACACTGGAGATTTGGTTCATTTTAGTAGGACTCTTTCTGTGTAGTAAAGAGTATTTATTTACATGTGCATACAAATATTTATATATGGTCCTAGTTAAAAAATCTCAGGATGGTTTACAACAGGGATGTCAAACTGCTGGCCCGTGGGCCGGATGCATCATGCAGAAGCTGCCCCCCCATTGCCGGCAATGGCAAAACAGTCCCAATACGTCGCACGATGTCACGTGATGTTGCGAGTTTGATATGTCTGGTTTACAATGTCACTCAATAAACTAAAGCTAGCACAATGAAAATAATCACCATAACCCAAAGCCACAGAAATCAAACTGTAAGGCTCATGAAGATCCACTATCCATGCCAAAACCCAGTTAAAATAATGTATGTATTTAGTGTATGGCATTAGAGTACATGGATAACAGTAGTAAAAATATATAAAAAGAGCATATAATACTATGATACACATATGATGGAAATATGTAGTCAATTTTATAAGATGAGGAATTCAAGAAGTTATATGTAAGTTACATTTTGAAATATATTAGTTCATGAGAATAGAATAAGTGTTTCTATATATTAATATCTAGGCCATTTAGTCTAGAGCAGTGGTTCTCAACCTTTTTAATGCCGCGACCCCCAATCGGTCGTAAGTCGAGGACTAAACCGGTCATAAGTCGAGAACTACCCAACCGGTCGTAAGCCGAGGACTTTCCCTGCCCAGGAGCGCCGCGCATGTGTGGTGCCGCACCCTGCGCCGGCTGAGGCGTAGCTGACAAGCGGCAGAGACGGAGCAGGCCGACCACCGGCTGGGCCACCAGCTGGCCCAGCCCAAGGGAGGTAAGGCAACTGCCGGAAAAGGGGAAAAAATGGCGGACAGCCTTGCTTGGTGACCCCCGTGAAATGGTCAATCGACCCCAAATGGGGTCGCAACCCATAGGTTGAGAACCGCTGGTCTAGAGCCATGGTGGCGCAGTGGTTAGAATGCAGTATTGCAGGCTAATTCTGCTGACTATCAGCAGTTTGTTGCTGACCGGCTCAAGGTTGACTCAGCCTTCCATCCTTCCAAAGTTGGTAAAATGAGGAGCCAAATTATTGGGGGCAATATGCTGACTCTGTAAATTGCTTAGAGAGGGCAGTAAAGCACAGCAAAGTGGTATATAAGTCTAAGTGCTATTGCTATTGTTATTGCTATTTGTTAGCTGGAGAAAATCTGCCTTTCCCCCTGTATAAGCTCTCAAATGGCAGCTAATCACTGTATGATCCAGTGTCTGATGAGGAGCCCTACAATCACATTCAGGGCAGGATAATTGAGTATCAGGTCAGTTATAATTTTTTCTGGAATCTGGACATTCAGTCATCCAGTTTACTTTCCACTGGGATTTTACATCAAAGTTAGCATAGTGCAGCTGCTATGCAAGTATCAGTTTGGGGTTCCTGGATTTAAGCCTTAAATTAAGGTTTAAACCCAGTCAAAATAAGGTAGTTTTAAGCACTTCATGAGAAGAAGGTGAGGACTTCCTGCATCCATGGGGTATTCCATAAGGACTGCCATCTACCCTAACCTTAATCCTAACTCTAACCATATTTTTTTCTGTCTCTAGCCTTCGAAGGCCACATGATTTTGCCTTCTTTGATTCTCTGCTCCACTACAGCATCTTTTTGTGTTTCTTTGTGCAATTGTAAACAAGGCACAGATCCCTTGTCAAGTGACTAGCCACTTTAAGATAATGGAAACAATAAATAATTTCTTCCATCAATGCTACTTAGATTTTCATATTCTTATTTTTTCATTCTTCTTTTTAAGGTTTGAAACACTTGTCCCCACCAGTGAGTCAGGAATGGTTTCTATAGCTTTTCAGCTTGGCATATTTTATTTTCCAAATCAAACGTTATTATTTCTAATGTGGTTCCTTCTAACTGAATCTGGATGGAAAATAATAATATTAAGACTGTTCCAAGAAGGTTGGGATCTTTTGGCTAGATGCCAGAATGAGAGGGAAAAAAAACCTGAACTCAAACATAACATTTGATTCTTTTTTCATCTCATGAGCCTGGAAATAATTTAGGCACATAGGAAAAAAAGTGAGAAGTATTTGGCCCAATGGAAAAAAAATTACAAAGAGAAGAAAAACTTTGAAAAGATAGGATTTTTTCCCACTTACTTTACAGGGCTTACTATAGCTTCTAATTTCAACTGAGTTATCAAGAAAGCTCCAGATTTCTGGCATATGACAGACTCAATACAGCTGAGTCTAGGGAATATAAAATTATAATTCTGCGGGCCATTTTTGGATTGTGCAAACTTTGAAAAAGCATGTCCATATGAGAAGCCCTTTTTTCAACCGACTCTTCAACTGGATCTGAGACCTGGAATTGAATTAGGTGCTTTTGAATCACTTCAGAGAAATCTAATAATGCTTCAGATGTTTAATTGATTTTTTTTGGTGCTTCTTTGCATAATCTCAAAGGTAACAGCTTTCCATCTACATATCAACCAAACTTTGGAGTTGGTTGGATTGTTTGATGGACTCTTTGATAGTGACGTGAGTGGCCAGTTCATGCATGTTATCACCTCTGCAAAGGGGCAAAACCAAATGGGTGGACCAAGAATATTGTTTTGCTCTTGGTGTTCCCAACTTATTAATGGCCTTGGAAGGAGGAAGATTCAGATTTGTTATCTTGCTTATTTATATCTCTTTAGTTCTTCTTTATGTGATCCTTTGTCTTTCCTAGAACCATATCTTTAACCCCCAGTATATTTTTCTGACATATAGCATGACTCTTGTTAGCATCTGTCCTGATGTTTGTGTCATCTTCATCACATTAATGCAACTGAAATAGCATGCTTACTAATAAATTATTGCATTTATTATTGGAGATCATTTATTTACATTGTAGGCAATTTGATATGCAGGCATGATAACACATAGACACTACTCAGACTTAAAAACATTTTTTTTCTTTTGGATAAATTATACATCATTTCCAAAGGAGGTTAATCATGTCAATAAATTGTAACCACAAGCCTGTCAGTCTGGAAAAAGAATTAAAAGACAACGGTTTCTTAATGTCTTCTAGAAATTTTTTAAAACTAGGCTAGGACACCTTCTGTATTAGTTCAGCACAAATTTATCCATAGACCACTTACTGTGCTTTCTTTTCTCATCCCTGTATGTCTTCTTTAGGTGCAAGAAAGTATTTCACATTTGTAGAGGATCAGTTAGGAAAACCTGCTCTTGTTACTCATTCAGCTTATTCAGGTAGGCAATGTACAGTAGTTCAAGCAAACACTCATATATACTAAAAACTATGTTTACTAACTTTTGACATACATCAATGTTTTTGTGTTTCCTTTATCAAAATGCAAGTAAACTGAAATCAGATGATGCAGCTGGAAGAAGTTCTAGCCAGGATTTGCAAATACAGTTTTGGGTGACTGCATATAGCCCTCTAGTCTAGCTAGAGGTAATTCAGCAATGAGAAGACTTTGTCTTGGGTTGTGAAACATAGCTTCTAATTGACTACTTTACACTTCAGCAGTTTGAGATCAGCAACAATGCCTTCCAATCCATTAGTCCAATAATCCCTTTTCAATCCCTTCTGAGCATTCTATGATTATTATGGATAGAGATATAAAAAGGACTTCGTATCACTTCATCAGCATCTATTACTGAAGTTACCATTATGGATAAAACTCCTTCAAATTGCTCTAGTTGAGAACAATGTGCACCAGCCCTATGGGTTCCATTGTTCTTATAGACTAGAATAGAGCTGGAAGGGACCTTGGAGGTCTTCTGGTCCAGCCCCCCCCCCCTCAAGCACAAGAACCAATACCATCTCAGAAAAGTGACTGTCCAATCTCTTCTTAAAAACCTCCAGTGATGGAGCACCCACGATTTCTGAAGGCAAGCTGTTCCACTGGTTAATTGTCCTCACTGTTAGGAAGATTCGCCTTAATTCCAGGTTGCTTCTCTCTTTGATCAGTTTCTAACCATTGTTTCTTGTCCTGCCCTCTGGTGCTTTGGAGAATAATTTAACCCCCCTCTTCTTTGTGGCAGCCCCTCAAATACTGGAATGCTGCCACCCCTATTTCTTCTTTTCTTTAGACTAGCCCACAGGTCGGCAACCTGCGGCTCCGGAGCCGCATGCGGCTCTTTGAGCCTTCCCCTGTGGCTCCCAGCCTCCTCTGCCTTTGCAGAGAGAGACAGAGACAGAGAGAGGCAATTGCACTTCCCTGCTTTTCTCTCTCTCTCTCTCTCTCTCTCTGTCTCTCTCTCTCTCTCTCTCTCTCTCTCTCTCTCTCTGTGTGTGTGTGTGTGTCTGTGTGTGTGTGTATGTGTAAAAGACAGTGCACTCACAGTGTTCTCTGAGGAGCTGAAAAGCTTTCTGGGCGGAGCTCCTCCCTTTGCTGCGTCTCTGCAGGAAGCAGGAAGGGCAGGAGAGAGCTAGCTAGCCCAGCTAGGCTGACTCAGGAATTCTGGGAGTTGAAGTCCATGAGTCATAAAAGAGACGAGGTTGCCTTCCCCGGATGTTGTTGGACAACAGCTTGAAGCTTGCCAGGTGAGCAGCAGATAGGAGGGGGGGGGGGAGAAAGAGAGAGAGAGAAAGAGAGAGAGGGAGAGAGAGAGAGTGGGGGAAGAGGAGTGGCAGACCAAGGGCAGATAGAGAGGGAGGGAGAGAGAGACCCTTTTGACATCTAAAATGAAGATAACACTGCATATATCCTTTTTTTAACCTGTGTGTGTATGTAATTTTATTTTCTTAAAGCATTCTCTTGGTGATCATTGTTTTAATAGTATGGATATTCCCAAGAGTCATATTTTTACTTTTATTTTTAATGTGTATATGTGTGTGTGTGTGTGTGTGTGTGTATATATATATACACACATATACACATACACACACACACATACACATACACATACCTATAATAAAGGTAAAAAAGGATATATGCAGTGTTATCTTCATTTTAGATATCAAAAGGGTTTTGCGGCTCCCAGTGTTTTGAAACAGGTCCAAGTGGCTCTTTAAGTGTTTTGGGTTGCCTACCCCTGGACTAGCCAAACCCAAGTCTTGCAGCCATTCTTTGTATGTTTTAGTCTCAGGCCTTGGATCACCTTAGTTGCTCTTCTCTGAACTTTTTCCAAGGTCTCAACATCTTTTTTGTAGTATGGTGACCAAAACTGATTGCAGTATTCCTGGTGTGGTCTCACTAGTACTAATTAGTACTAAGCGGTACTAATACTTCATGTGATCCTGATTCTATGCCTCTGTTTATACAACCCAGGATTGTATTAGGTTTTTTTGGCGGCTGCTGCACTTTGCTGACTCATAGTCAAGTGATCGTCCACTAGGACTCCAAGGTCCCTCTCAAAGGCTATTGTTTTTGAGCCAGGTCGCACCTAATCTGTACTTATATCTTTGATTTTTCCTGTCTAAATGTACAACTTTGCTTTTCTCCAAATTAAAACTCATTTTGTTGGACAGAGCCCATTGTTCAAGTTCGTCAAGATCTTTTTGAATACCGAGCATATCTTTTGCAGTGTTGACTATTCCTGCCAGTTTAATGATACCCCACTTCTTAGTCCTCTCCATGTGGATGTAGTACCATTGAGGACTATTCATTTGTCAGCCCGTTACAAATCCATCTGGTGGTAATGTTGTCTATTCCACAATTTTTCTAGCTTACCAAGCAATAGATTGTGGTCTACTTTGTCGAATGCCTTACTGAAATCTAAGTATACCATGTCCACAGCATTTCACTGGTCTATTAATTCGGTCACTTTATCAAAGAATGAAATACGGTTGGTTTGGCATGATCTGTTTTTGACAAACCCATGCTGGCTACTGGTTATAACTTTGTTTGCTTCTAGTTTGCAAATCTGTTTTTTGATTATTTTTTCCAGGATCTTCCCAGGTATTGATATTAAACTGATTGGTCTGTAGTTTCCTGGGTCTGTTTTTTTTTCCTTTTTTGAAGATGGGAAACACATCAGCCCTTTTCCAATCCTCAGGTACTTCCCCAGCGCTCCAGGATTTTTGAAAGATATGGTGCAATGGTTCTGAGATAACATCTGCCAACTCTTTCAGAACTCTGGGATGTAATCTGTCGAATCCTGGTGATTTATATTCATCAAGGTCGGATAGGTGTTCTCTTACCATTTTCTTATGCATGGAGCTAGTTGATATTTTTTTCAAGCATTCAAAACAGTGTGAATTGTACATCTTAAAGAGAAAGTTGGGAGAAATATATTAAACTGTTGTTCCCTTCTCCCATGTCACCTGTTTATTTGCAGAAAGAACCAATTTTGGCATTCTTCAGCTTGGCACCCTTCGGATCTTTTAGAATATGATACAAAGATACCTGGAGGATGCTGGATAGAAGGAAGGCTGCCATACACCATCCCACAGAGTTCAAGAATCTGATTTGCCAAGGCTGTGAACTTCATGGAGATTCTTCATGGATTTAAGGGATTTTCTTCAATTTAGAGAGCTACCTTCCATACCCAGAAGACAGCACATGGGTTGGTTATGTGCTTGTTCCCCATCCAGTTTATATCTCCCTTGCATGTATAAATTGCAACCTTTTAAAATACCCGAAGAAGACTGAAGCTATTGAGAACACAAGCCTAAAGCATCATCTGAAGCAGCCTAAAGAGATAGTTCAAGGTGATACACTATGCTTTGTGTGGATAATGAATGGTCTATGAGCGGAGAAGCTGACAAATTGCTGCAGAACATTACTTTTAAAATTATAAACCTTATGTTATGTAACAGTTTTCAACCCTGGGTAGCATAACTGAGCTATATAAACTAAAAATATCCTACTACAAAGGTCCCCAGTTGTATCACATAATCTGTGCAATCTACAATGCTCTTACCACTTTCAAGCCAGGAATTCAAATGTGTCACTAAAGAACCTGTTGCCCTCCATTAATCACAAACTTTGCTGTTATGAGTTATTTGGGAAAGAAAAATCAAATTACCTGGGTGATCATGCAAGGATAAGGTGTTTTCAAACCCAACAGATTTGGCCAAGCTGGTAATGAATTGTAATAGTAGCTGGTAATGAATAGTAATGGTAGCTTATGTCTCCCCTGAGTGCTAATAAGCCATAAAATGCCCCATTGACAGAAGAGCTGTTGAGTAAGTCTGAGTAATAAACAGCCTCAACTATTCATGACATTTAATGTAAGTATAGCTGCATTAGATGGCACAGTCTTTTTGGAAGAGAAATATTTTTCTCAGTTACTCATTTCTCTCATGCTTTTGTTTATATTCATGCATGGCTCTATGCTACGGTTACAATAAGAAGGTTCTTCTAATATAAAAATGAAGAAACCTAAGCAAAACTAACAAAAGAGGAGAAAAGGAAAAAGAAAGGAAAAAGATAAACATGAAATGAACAAAACAGAATTTATAACAAAAAACAATCATTTTTAAAAAAAAAAACTATCATTTTTCTTTAAGATAAAAGTCTAAATTATGCATTGATACAAATTATTACAACTCAATTTTTAAATACTGAGTTAAAACAACACTAGCCAGAAGCACAATCACACTTTCTGTTCAATCATGCCTTTCTGTGAAAACAAAACTCATTTAAAAACTGAAAGCTGATGAACTTCACTGAACCAAGATTTACAATCGGATGCACAAAATATTTTTAGGACTGCAGTATCACCTTCTTTGCTGTAGCGCAGCCATGATTTATCCCAAGTTCTTCATAAATTGATACATTGCAGACCATTTAAAAATGTAACTATGTTTCATAAAATAAAGTAAACATCTTTAATGCAGCAAAAATACTTTTTGGGATTTATCAGAGTCCTCAAAGAATGCTCAGTGAAGGTTGGCTGTCATCCTTTGTATGCTGGAATATATTTTAAGGAACTCTTGTGCTCATTTGATGGTTGTGCCTAAGAGCAGTCCCTTGCTGAATAAATATTAAGAACCAGATTTTTGGTAGAATTAAGTTCAAAGAGATTAGTATGTTGTTTGGAACAATGTTAAGCCTAGAATGCATTCTATTAGAATTAGAGCATTTCTACTACAAAGGTGCTGTGATAGAGAAAGCACGCTTGCTAGGTTCCATCACATGACATATGGAATATGCCTACTTTGTTGGCTCATATGGGGATGGAAAGACATTGTGGGAGAACAGTAGTCCCTCAGATAACCATTAAGTGAGGCAAAGCATGTGGTCACAAAAGAAAGAGCCTTTTCAGTGGTGTTCCCCATTTGTAGAATACCCTCTAAAAGAAATTCACCTGGCATCAATTTTATGGCTATTTCTGTCCTGGGTAAAAATTTCCCTGTTCTCCTATTTTAAAGTTAAATTGCTTGCTCAAACTATATCTTTATCCTGATAAAAACAGTCATTTAAAAAAAAAATAGTCGGTGGTATTCAGATATGTGAACAACTGGTTCTCTGTGTGGATGCTGCTTCCAGAAGTCCATTCTGTGTGTGGGCAACAAAAAATTAGCTCCCAGTTCTACCGAATTGGTGCAAACCGGCTGAATCCCACCACCAATTTTAGTAAATGATGAGCAGAATTATGTTAATTACTGTCTGGTCACCATTCAGAAACCTGGATATTGTTAAATTTGTCCAAATCTCTTGATATTATGATAAGACAAATCTATATCTCCAAATGTATTAATTAGTGCCAGTTACAAATTATTTTCTATATGGTCATGCCTCTTACTATGAATGAGTGAAGGTTTAAATATCTTGGGCAAATCTGTAATAAAATGCTATCTTTACCTGTATAAACATTAGGTTTTCTGAAACAGCAGTGCATATATTTGGAATTAATTATTATTTAGTCAGGAAATTTATTATATTTCAGTTTTTGAAGGTATCAGGTAAATATACATTAATATAATCCTCAGTTTGATGAATGATTTGGGTAATTATTTTGGCAGTGCTATAGAAATATTTTGACATTGTCTTCTTCAATGATATTTTTTTTCAATTTCTAGTCTATGAAGAGCCCACAAATTCACAACTAGACCCCTATGCCCGTATCAACCAAGGCCAGCCTTAGTTAGGTTCTGAGATTAGCCAAAGTCAACTTGGTGTTGCCAATTGCTGAGGCTTTCAGTTTCTACATTTGCATTATTTTGAGTCACCGTCCTGGAAAAGAAGGATGGGCAACTTGAGTGTGGTCAACCTCAAATTCCTTTCCTACACTGTCTAAACTTCTCTGATCATTCCTGCCAAATATGAGTGCATGATTTCATGCTATTTTATGGAAAACATGGTAACCCTAGTTAGTAAAACAGATTTTAAATTATGTAAATATTTTTTACATAACCCTCTCTCTCAAAACTCAGTAAAATTTTAGCTCTACCCTTATGCATCATTGCTCCACCCACTGTGGCTAATTACAACCACCCACTGGAGCCTCAAATAGTTTCTGTAAAAGAATGTTTAAGTTACAGGAGTGAGCGATCCTTTTAATTTTTATGATGGCTCAAGAGGAGATTTAATGTGAGTGTCCTATGGACAAAAAGGGAAAAGTGTATATTAAAATAGGGGCATGGTGGCCGAGTAGTTAAGATGCTAGGCTTGTCAACCATAAAGTTGGTAGTTTGAGACTAAGGACCATATGATGGAGTGAGCTTCCATTACTTGCCCCAGTTCCTGCCAACCTAGCAGTTTGAAAGCATGCAAATGCAAATAGATAAATTGGTACGACTTCAGTGGGAAGGTAACAGCATTCTATGCACCTTCAGCATATAGTCATGGCAGCCATTTGACCACAGAAGCATCTTAGATCAATGCTGGCTCTTCAGCTGTGAATTAAAGATGAGCACCACCCCCTAGAGTCAGACACAACTTGCAAGGAAATCTTTTGCCTTTATATATTCAAATAATAAACAGGTAATAATGTAAAATTGGGGAATTTAGTTGATTTTGCATATTTCATTAAGAGGTTTCTGATGTATTCTAGAAATCAAGGCCAGGAGATAGCTTAAGAGGCCCAGTAGACTTCAGATGATGCACATATGCACGAGACTTTTCTGCAAAGAAGTACCACATAGATTTCAAATCTAGACCTGTAATTGATCATTCCTATTTCTTCTGAATGAATAAACATTGAAGAATTCACTGATCTGACCTCAAGCAGTGTGCTCCTTTAGATCCTGCTTTGTTTTCAAACATCACAGGCAAATTCCAAAGTGGGACAATCACTTGATAATCTTGCTTTGAACTGAAGGAGTGTGAATTGAAAATACTGGGGGAGAAATGGGAGGGGCAGAAATCATGACATTTGAAGCTAAATATGAACATTGCCTTTGAGAAATGCAGCATTAAAACAACAAAATCTTTCAAACTTTTGCACTGCAGGAGCCATTGGCTTATTTTCCCTGTTTTCTTGACAATGCGCCAATACTGAACACTCTTAACTGCACTTTGAAAAAAAACACTCATGACAGCTCATTTGTTTAACTTGGTTCAGCTTTAAAGTTCTGATGAAGCTTAATCTTCTGACCTGTGTTTATCTTGGCTCAGGATGTCTTTTCACACAGGCACTTCCTATCCTTTCTAATCTTCTCTGCTGGGGGAAAATGTGTTTTGGGGAGCAGAGAGTTGGAAAAAGAAGCCACCTAACTATGTGGTGAGAGAGAACCACAACATATGTGCTTGTCAAGTGAGTGAAAGAAAAGAAACTTTAAATGTGACTAAATTCGAAGAAGCCATGAAAAGGGGAGTTTGCCACTGCAGAAGCTGCTAGTAGAAAAATGCATCCAGGAATCAATACAGTCACTGTTTATTTTTAAAGCTTAATGCCTCTGAAACAGTTGGTTGTCCCCAGCTTTGGCTCTTGTATCCATACTCCATGGCTGAAGGTACTATTGATGATGAAATACAGTCTAAAGTTAACTGACTAGGCAACCAACCAAAATAATAATGGCTCTTCATAGAAAGTAATTGCATTAACTTTGTCTTAACTTTCACTGTGGACTTACTATTTATTTGTTCTGCCCCCAGCATCTTTTGGGACTGCCATTCTGGCATGGAAAGAAAAGACCAAGTGCAGTTCTTTGCTCAAAGAAAATAATGCACACTTTCCTGCTGAACAATCCATGTTAATCAGTGGGCTTTATAAGCAGATACTCTTACGATGAATCCATCTTATAGCCTGGAAGAGAGCTGATCCAAAAACACCTTTGGGAATCCAGACATCTTTATCTCCAGTCCAACTTTGATATAATTTATGGCAATAAATTCCAAGTATTTTGGATTCTAATTCTAATCATCTCTACCAGCAGGCATGATGAGCTTGCTTGTTGGACATAACAGGACTTAGAACACATTTGATATTCATAAGTTGGGAAGGACCAATCTATGATTTTCCACTTTCTGTCAGTTCAAGAAGGGAAAAGAAGTCTAGGCATCCATTTCTTTTTCAGAAACTGGGAAAACTTAATGCAAAACTGAGACAGAAGAATTACTTTGGTTTTGGAGTCAGCTTTTTGGGAAGCATGACAGAATATTACAAGGCTGAATCCCCTTGACTCTCCTTATCTATCCATCTGGAGAGTTTTAGCCCTTTTACCAAGGACATATCTTTGGGCCCAGCTCTGTGAAAACTCCTAATTCTATGAAGGTATTTTTGATCTTCCTCCCCACTCTTGCTCTCAAAAAAAAAATGTTCCAATTATAAAATGGAAGATGTAACTGTGTAACCACAAAGTGTAGTGTGTTCAGAAGTTTTTTTTAGGAGTCATTCTTTTCTAAAGTCAAAAAAGATATAATCTGTTTATACAAATATCTCTCTTCATCTGAGGGAGATGGTTGTTAAGAAGTATGATAGGCAGGCAGGCAGGCAGGCAGACAGACAGACAGACAGACAGACAGACAGACAGATAGATTATTGGGAAAAGAGATATATAGATGAAACAAGATAAAGCAACTATTAAAGATAACATTACAGATAAGATAATTAAGCCAACCAAAATAGGTACTTACTACTTGCTTGCTTGCGAAATTGGATTGTAGCACATGTTCATAGAATATTTCAGGCAGCATTATTGATGGGAATCTATCTGGATCTCCTCTTTGGATGTTTGCAGATAGGCTTTTCTATTCTTTCCTTTGTCTCTTTCTAATCTTTTACTCTCAATTTTACTCTCAATTTTATAGAAAATGGGAGTCTCGGGAACCACATGAGGTGGGAATGGCAAGAGAAGGCAAATGATGAAGGCAATATTGTGCTGTTGCACAAACTCTGTCCCTTTTGTACATGTGTCTTGACATTACACGCATGCTAGAAAAGGATAGTACTGTTTCATAATGCCATGACACTTTTTATCATTTTGATAAAGCCTCTGATCCTAGGGATGTCCCTAAAAAAAGATAAGAAAAAGTCATGTTATTTGGGAAGACAGTTACTTTGTGCAGTCAAGGATGCTATTATATGTATGATGTCCTGGCTTTAGCTAGTAAATCAAAAAGTATCAGAAACTGAACCACTTCCTAATGATCCATGATGGAATTGTAAAGATACAATCATTTGTTTTCACCAGTTCTGAATTTATACTGTATAGATGGGATTTTGTAATCAAGCTTTTTAAAAAACAAATTAAAATATATTTAAGCCTCTCAATATGGGATCAATTAGCAGATGCTTTAAGGAGAACTATTGTTCAAATAGCAAAATTATGGAGCATAACCCAGTAGAAAACAGATGCTTTTAAAATGCCATATCTGTGTCTTTTTGCAAATAGTGAAAGAGGACCAAATTAAAACTTTTGCTCTATGGAAAAAAACTGATTTTGATACAATTAGAATTCAATGATTATACTGAAAATATCCAAGCTTCCTCTTTCCAAGATTTCATCTTAATTATGGTTTTGTCTAATAGAACTGTAACTGCAAAGCATAAAATACTCTGTGAAGCATTTTCAAAGGAACCCTGAGCTTCTCTAGGGTATTTATTCTGCTTAACAGTTGGGATCATTGCCATCACTCTGCTTCTTGGAGCAATAGGCATAAAATGCATCCAAGCTACTTATTAAAGCTGTGGTGGTGATGCAGTGGTTAGAATGCAGTACTGCAGGTTACTTCTACTGACTGCTGGCTGCCAGTAGTTCGGCAGTTTCATTCTCACTGGCTCAGGGTTGACTCAGCCTCCCATCCTTTTGAGCAGCATAAAATGAGGACCCAGATTGTTGGGGCAATATGCTGACTCTGTAAACCGCTTAGAGAGGGCTGTAAAGTCTAAGTGCTATTGCTATTGCTAAATCTGTTTTTTGAGCTCAAATAATATAGGAAAACTTCATTTTCAGGTGTAGCAACAAAACCCACCGTATGTGGCATTTTTATGATATAGTTGTAATTGGTTGGATCCAATATAAATTCAAATAAGATTGGATCCATGACTTAATGGAACTTCTTCCCTATTGTTTCTAATAGTGCTGCTCAAGTATAGTAAAAATAGATGCAATGCACTGGATGTTCACTTGCATAAATGTAATCTGGCCTTAGAGTTCAAGGGAAAATACATCATTTATAATCTGTGTATCTATCTATATCGGATACCATTATTGAAAAAAATGAAATTTTTCCCATATTCTAACATTTATCATCATGTAAAATTGAAACATTTAATAGATCTTTTGTGTAAGAATTGATTTCAATTATCATGGGGAGAACAACAAAAGGCCTTGGGTAGGGTAGGTGCATGTTATGTAGGGTAGGCAGGTGAATGGGAAAGGTGCTACAAAGCACTGATGCATGGAATTAAGAAGAAACTTCCTAACTGAGGACAATTAACCAATGGAACAGCTTGCCTTCAGAAGTTGTAGGTGTTTCATTATTGTAAGTTTTTAGGAAAAGACTGGACAGCTACGTGTCTGAAATGGTATAGGATCTCCTGCTTGAGCAGAGGGTTGGACCAGAAGTTCTCCAATAGATCTCTTCCAGCTCTATTCTGATTGATTGATTGATTGAGACTCCTCAATCAATTGGAAGAAAAAACAGCAGAAGCAACATATTGAAGCTATATG